TATAGAAGTAGAAGTTGAAAATAACGCAGTTCCAAAAAGTTAATTTGAAGAATTTTCTTTCGCAATTTAACACTTGTAAAGCGTGGTGAGTAACCCCCATATAAAATACTATATTTCAGGTATGAATAAACATATGCAATATAATCGTAAAACATTTATGGGAACCAAATTTCCAAATCTCAGCATCACGTAGCAATAGGTGTCAAATTATTTTTAAAATATGGTATATTTCAGTGGCCTACCTCTGGTGAGATTCAAAATAAACTAATAGAAATTTGACTACACTACCCTGACGTAATACACTTATTATAAAGTCTCATTTAAAGGCTTATTTAAGTCCTTGCAAAATTTTCAGCTTTAATTAATAATCCTTTATATACATGTTGAAAGTACAATATTTTGGTTTTGGTGTTTTAATATATTTTAGAAGACATTCAGCTGTTACGTTATATGCCTATAATATTCCAGTCTAGACGCAAATTTTTATCCGTGGAGTTTTTATTTATATCTTTCATATACGTGTATAGTAAAATCCACCTCAGCTGATTAGGTTTTCACCGCATTGACGTCGTTAGATTTTATTAAATGAAGTTGACGCCTGTGCCGAAAATATATTATTGTACGGCAATATAGGTAGTCTAAACATTTAAGATTTCTTCAACAATCAGATCAAATCAATGAATTCTCCATATTTGGGTTATCTGGTTCCCGATGTTTCTTTTAGAATACTAGTTACAGAGATGTGTACATGGTAGTCAAAGAAAGCGTAAAAGTTATAAGAAAAATTGTTAGGATGCGCAAATTCAAATTATTTTAAAGTGGTGGCTTTTAAAATTCTTCAAATTTCTGATTAATAATAATACATGCCTAAACCTAGCGGTTTTCCACAATCTTAATTTTTCTAAAAAAAATACTCACACATTTTCATACTTAATTGATAATTGATTTTAACGATGACGAAAAACATATATGCAACGCAATTTAATTTAAATATTACAGGGTGTTCAAAATAAACAAATATATTTGGATCATTTGAAACTGAAAAACCTCGATTTTCTTAAATATAGATTATTATTTTTTCTGAAAACTCTTACCAAAGGCTACAACCTTTATTAAATATGTCATATACCTAACGTTTCCAATATTTACCCTTCTTTCTGTCTGAGACTATTGCTAGAATATTAGTTGACCTGACAACTGAGTACACAAATTCAGTAAATTTATACAATACAATACGGTAATTGTGTATTATTATTAATAAAAGTGTTGAAGAATTTTAAAAGAAATTCAAAATAAAATTTTAAAATAAGGTGTTTCGTTTAAAAAAAAAAGTATGCTTAATTCGTCATGCTTTTTTGAGCCACCACTTTAATAATATATTACGCAACAAGTACGGTAAACGGCATTTGAGTCACGTGCGGGAACATCCCGGAAATGTCCGCACGCTAGATAAGTGTATTACTAGGTATTTTACAGAAGGGAGTAGAAAAAATAATTTCAAATTGTGCCTCCTAACAATCTTCTGTATTTAGCATTTTCTTATAACTTTTGAAACCAATGAGATAATGAACTTTTTCTATTCCCGTCTGGAAAATACCTAATTACACACCGAAATAAAGTACGGGCAGCTCCACTTTACCACCTCAGTTTCGTTTCCCACGGATCCGAACCACTTCGGAAATCGGATGTTTTCGGAGATTTTACCGCACGGTTTGAATTTTGACGTTTATCAATTCTGACGGTCATGTCAGTGAGTGTATTCTTGTTGTTTTGCCAAAAGGTATCCAAAATCTAACAGTCGTAGAAAAAATATAGTGTGCAAAACTTTTGGTAAATTTTGAAGTCACTCTTTTATTAAACACTCGCTCCGCTCGTGCCAAATAAACTCGTTATTCAAATCCGTTTACCACGCTTATTGCATTATGGTTACTATGGTTTGAATTTCGACGTTTGTCAATTCTGATGGTCATGTCAGTGAATGTATTCGTGTTGTTTTGCGAAAATGTACCCAAAAACTAACGGTCGTAGAAAAAGTATAGTATGCAACACGTTCTGTACACTTTTTAACTCACTCGTTTATTAAAATCATTAATATACTATGGTTTACTCAGCCTGCATCTAAATTGATATCTCGTTTTCACTTCGAAAATATTGTTCACATGTGTCAACAACTTACAAAAAGTATCGACATTTGCTGGCCACTGTGCACTTTTCTTATTCGGTTGGGCTCTAAAATATAATTTTTCTCTAACCACTAATCACTGTTTTGTTAAATTGTATAAGAGAGCAGTTTTACAGTGTATCTTTCTATTAAAGCTGTGAAAAAAAAATTACCAAAAACGGCAAAAACCCTTGCATATTTTTCCTACCTATTTTTGACTCTTAGAAAACGTATGGGAAATGATAGAAAAAGGTCACCTTCATTAGAATAGTATATTATGCAAAAGTGTGGTAAACGGGATTTGACTCATGAGTTTATTTGACACGAGCGGAGCGAGTTTTTAATAAACGAGTGAGTTAAAAAGTTTACCGAACGTGTTGCATACTATACTTTTTCTACGACCGTTAGTTTTTCGGTACATTTTTGCAAAACAACACGAATACATTCACTGACATGACCGTCAGAATTGACAAACGCCAAAATTCAAACAGTGCTGTAAAATAAATCTCCGAAAACATCCGATTGCTCCCAAACCCATGCGGTAAAATCCGGGAAATGTCCAAAGTGGCTCGGATTCGTGGGAAACGAAACTGACGTGGTAAAGTGACGCTTCTCGCACGCTAGATCGGTGGGTAATTAGGTATTTTACAGACGGGAGTAGAAAAAGATAATTAACTGGATATAAAAAGGCACAACGGGATAGTCAAGAGGAAAGTGAGAGAAGATGCTGATCCTTTGGGAGTTTTGCAACACGCAGATTTAATTAGGCGTATAATCTAGGACGCTTATAATGTGATTAGTGTTTTAACCCTAGAAGAACTGCATAAAAAAGTACTGACAAACTTAAACATTAGTTATGCCAAACAGTCGTTGCGTACTTTTTTGAAGAAAATGGATTTTCTGTAATAAACGATTAATAAACGTCACGACAGTAGCGATAGTGACGATTTTTTAAGTGACTGATACTGAATTATTATAATATTAAATATTTTGTATATTAATAATGATACTATGTAGAAATGTAATAAAATAGAACGTAATAAGTTGTTACTTTGTACTAATTTTTTTATGTATATGTTTCAATAAATACTCGGCGAAAAGGATCGAAAACATACTTATATCCCGCTTGTTAGAGTAGGTAGATAAATACCTACGATGGTTGTGAGTATGGGTAAGGGTCTGCTCGGCAGCGTGTTCTTATAGAAAAGGTTTGGAGTAATAAACAGTAGGCAAAGTTAATCACGGAGTCGGTTATACAAGCACTATATTTCTGGTCGAAGTATATAAAGGTACTCTTGTTTCGGCAATCTAACCCTGACGGGTTACGATCTATTTGCATTTTAAAAATTCATGACAGCTGTCTCGGCAACACCGTGCTTCGTTTATTCTTAGTTTAGAAAATTAGTTTAAAAATTGGAAATCCCTGTAAACATAACAAGTAAATAACCAAAGAATCTGATTTTGACCACTACAATTTTATTTTCTGTAAAACTGATATAAAAGAACCACTATTTTTTTTTAGTCCAGCGTGGATAATTTAATTTGGGTAGCTTCAGCGCATTACGTGTCTAAATACAAAATTTATGGAGAATAAATCAAAACTTCTTAGTTACATCGGAGTTTGTGAAAAACAAGCAAGTTTCTGAAATAGATGTCAAAATTTCTGAAGAATAAGTCAGCATTTCTGAAAAAGAAGGTAGAATTTCTAACAGATAAGTACCAAATTTTTTTAAATAAGTCTCTCGTAAGATATATACAGGGTGATAGATAAGGAATGGCCAATATCTAAACAGAGGGATTAGACAAAATATTGTTATTGAACTCGGCCATACAGGGCGTTCAAAGTTCAATTTTTTTCATTAACTGAAATTTTTACAGTATAATAATAATACTTGGGAGGTTTAGGTTTTATGACATGAAAAATGCGAACTTGAAACTTATTTGGACGTTGCTCCTAGATGGCACCAGTTTTTCCGTATTTAGATAAATCAAATCGTATTTTTGTATCCGTCAAGTTATGGTTGAAACAATATGACAAGAATGTTTAATTTATAACTCTGCAATAGGATAGAACAATAGCAATTTTTGTATTAGTAGTTTAAAAATAACTTCAAAACAATTATAATTTCATAATACTTGTATGCTTAGTACCTCCAGTATGGAGTCTGCTTAATGAATTGCCCTGTATACTATCCCATACTGATTTGTTTTATAGAAATTCCGACTATATTCTGAAAGTATGACTAAAGTCAGACATTCCGATTTATTTTCTGTCACACCATTTAAACAATTTTGTTTAATGTCACCCTTCTACCTTAAAGATACGGAAAAATAGTGAAGATTTTCTCATGTTTTATTAATAAATTAGCTTCTGCTAAACATATAACTTTTGATTCGGTTCAGTCTACCCTGTAGATCACAGATAACTCTTGAGTGCCTCAATAAAATTGAAAATTACGTTTCTAGAATTGATAGTTTTTAGGAAAAGTTCAACAACGAATATTCTGGATCTTCAACAGGTGTAACAATGAAAGCAGCCTGCCCATAAATTAGACAAAAAATGATTTGCTTTCGGGGTGACCTTTTAATGCCCACGCTGATATGAACCTTGCCAACATTTCACTCGAAGCCTATATGCAAGATAAGCAACCGCAAAATTAAATGGAAAGATGCCTAGAGCGCTTTAGTGTCGTATTGAGGAAAAATAATACAATTTTATAAATTAATTAGATCAAACATGCAGCGTGTTCCCCAGAAGGTCCCAACAATAATCTAATGTAAGACAATTTCAATTGCATCCTAGGACAAATAATATACATTAACGCAAAGTTGAACTTACTTAAAGCCACTTTATGGTCATCGGTAATAACTTCCCTCCTAAAATTTTCTAGACGAGCGAGAGAAATCTCTTTCCTACTGAGAGATTTTTTCCTCTCAACTTTTTTCTTAAACAGAGGCATTTTCAACACACTAATAGGGGCCACGAGCGCACCCAAACCGCGCCTTTTTAGCTTTTCAAAACCGCACTCCGCGGACGAACATCGTCAACAATTAACAGTAATTTAATAAAAAAAAATTCCAAATGTCCAAATTAATACGGAACGTGTTAATATAAGGCACGTGTCCCAAATTTTTCGTTAAACATCCTTCGCGGAGTCTAAAAATACCGACGTTATACCAATTCGAACTGGAAATCTGGTGTAACCGAGTGAAGCGCGCAAACTTTTCAGAAATACGGCTGAAAATCCACTGAAAATGCGAGCGGACTGAATATTTTCAGGAAAGGCGGGCATCAGTTTCCTATAGATTCCTTACATTTTTCCACTCATACGCGCCCTCTATGAATAACTTGTTCTACAAATTTAGTTTACTTAGAGAATGTATATTTATTATTTGACGAATGGGTTTGCGAATAAATTTAAGAGATTGTAGATTATTCTATGCATGCTCAATTTTTCAGTGTGATTGTATAAGAAATTTTTATACCAGATAGATGCATAATATTCTGAAGCCACCAAAATTGAAATTCGAGTGGTGGACTAAAAGATATTTTCGAATGAATAAATGTTTTAATTTAACTATTTCCTTACTTGCACATTTGCACGAAATTATACAAAGGTTGCTGCGTTCAAAATGAGTTTACTCGCAATTTACTTGTCTTCTCTACAGGCCGTCTCAAGTTTGAATTTGAATTTATTTGCTTTATAAAAAAAATAAGCTGATTTACTTCAAGGAAGGACATTAAGGAAACTTAACTATGCAATGCAGACATACCCAAACTAAAATATCAACATAAAGTGATATATCGCTTTTTTTCGATTTTCTATTGTTATTTTCCTCAAAAACAAGCAACAATGATATAAAAATACTACTGATAAAATAAGCATAGTTCTTTATATCGAATCTATTGATAGTATTTGTTCAAAAATTGAGAATCTCTGTAGATAAAACAGGTGAATACGGAAGAAACTGATTTTGAGCGATACAACTATTTCTTGTTTTTTTAATTTAATTTGGCTACCTTTTGGGAATTACGCGTCTAAATGTACAGTCCTTATCTTATTTAGTTGGCCCGGTACTTTAACAGGTTAAAAGTCTTCAAAAATACCATATCGGAAAATTTATGTTATATATAAAATAAAGGTTTTCCAAATTTCTGGGTTAATGCAGAATTTCTGGAAAATAAGTAATAATTTCTGAAAAATAGGTCAGAATTTCTGGAAAATTAGTCAAAATTTCTGAAATCGAAGTTAAAATTTCTGAAAAATTAGTGATGATTTCTGAGTAAAGTTAAGATTTCTGAAAAATAAATCCAAAATTTCTGACAGAAGTTTCTCGTAAGGGTCAGTGCCAATCGAAATTGGTGATAAATGACAAATATTCAAAGTGCAAATTTGACCTATAATTTTCTCTTAATTGGATTTTTTTTATAATATAATAACAAAACTTGGCAGTTTAAGTTTTTTGACTTGACAACAATGAACTTGTAACTTATTTAAACGTTGCACCTAGAGAGCGCTAGTTTCGCCGAATTTAAATAAATCGAATTATTTGTTTTTATGCCTCAAGATATTGTTGAATACGTGATGAAAATCTAAAAGAAGGTTTAATTTATTATAACTAAGATAGAGCTCTTTCGGTCGACTAACTCTCTCGATTGTTGACCTATTTGTATTTGAAAAGTTCAGGGTATTTTTTCTCATTTCAATTTATAAATACTTAAATGATGGAAAAGTAAGGTAGCTATGAAAACCAATATTTAACAATGGCAAGTCGTGTAATAGAAGTAAAAAAACCTTAAAATCAAATGTTATTTTGGTGTCTAGTATCTCCGAAGATTGCCCATTCTTTATTACGCACTCGGTATACCTAATGTTTCGATTGGTGCGGTCCCTTATGAAACACATATATCATTAAGTCTCATTTAAGGTCAGAAATTCTAATCTATTCTCCAGAACTTCTTTTTCAGAAATTCTAATTGATTAATCAAATATTTTCTTTATTAAATTAAAATCTATATTCTATTTTTCAGCACATTCGTAAAAAACGCGAGTTGGGATGAAAAATTCAACTAATTAAATAGTAAGGCAAGTGATTTTCTTAGGGGCACTGGTTTTTCGAAAAGTTACGCAAAATTATTATTTATGATATTCTTGTCATTCGCTGCTGCACTTATTTCGCCAATGAAAACTGCTGCAATACATATATGTATTATTTAATTGTTTCTATGATGATGTACCATTTGGAAATTTTAATTAAAAAATACCATTGACTTTATATTTGAAGTTGGATATTTTCACGAGATTAAGGGCATAATCAATTTAAATTAATGTTTTATTCCAACTAATAATGTTTTTCCTTTACTATAGTTTATAATTTTTGCATGCATGGGGAAATTATTGCTCACACGTATATTTACAATATGATGCAGGACCGACTGAATTAATTATTGCTGCATTTTCAATCCCCGGCCTTGATTAAAGTAAACCCACAATGACGTCGTAAACCATGTAATGCTAGAAATTAATACAGTCTAACTGTTGAAGGAAAAATTATCAGGATTAATTCCTCGGAAAATTTTATAGGTGCGGCAATGCCCTAGTGAATCGAGCAAGGACATCGAGGCGAGGTGTGGAAATCGATTAAGGCTGAATTAGGATTTTTCCGGTTTTATCAAGATTTTACCAGCACTACGGGGTGTTTCCTGTTCCGAAATTGTTAAACCGCTTTTCCAGATCTCTGTAGCAGTAAAATACTGCGTGGTTAGTTGTATACTCACTAGCAAGAAGCTAAAGAGTATGCGTGTGATGAATTTTTTGAGGAATGTTCATGTAACGCGCTTTAAGTCAACTCAACTTAACTCTCTAGAGGGTTAGACGTTAATGTCAGTACTATTCAAAACATAAATATTTATAGGAAATAAAGAAACGTGATAATGTGTTTTTTTTTGCGTGTATATATACGGTTTACTTATATGGGGCCATTCTGCTCATACATATCGTGTATTTTCTTTACAGAGGAGATTGGTGAGAGTATTGTCGGGAATAGGATGTGCCGATGACGTAAGACCGTATTTAATTGGCCTCCGTATTCTGACGTTGCCAAGTCATTTATTGTGTCTTAGTTACGTGAAGAAGAATGCTAAGCTCAATACCACAAATACTAAAATCCACGAGCATAACACCCCTGGTACAACTGATATAAGATTGCCTTTTGCAAGCAGGTACTTACATAACTATTACAGTCCTGTCTTATATAATAAATTACCCAACAAATTAAGGGATTTAAGTTTGAATGCGTTTATAGCGAAGTTAAAAAAAATTCTACTTGAAAGGGCTTTCTACAATATACAACAATATCTCGAGTTTGATTTTAGAAATATGAAGTTTGGGTAGATAAGGTAGTGTTTGTGGTTGGGATTGGCATATTGTTATTTAAATTTTGTAGGCTTCGTTTTTATTAATTTGTTTTATACATTCTTGTGTTATATGCTTTTGATTAGTTGTAGTTGCTTCTTTATTAGTATTATAATATGTGATGCATAGACTGTGATATCTTTTGATATCTTATAATTTATAGTTGACGTGTGAAAATAATTGTTTTATTGTAAATTTCACGAAATAAATTTGAATTTGCATAAATACATAACCTTAAAAATATTGAAAAAAATACGCTTGTGGCAGAACACAATCATTTTAAACCAAATAAAATTTCAAATATGTACATAAACATAAAATTTTTCGTTATTAGGGGTTAGTTTAAAATTTAGTAAAAAATATGCAAAGTTGCTAAATGATTGATAATTATTCATTTCTATTAAAATAATCTGTAGCAAGCCCAAAATGAAACAAATATCTAACTGTAACACTTTCAATATCCCAACCTCCAGCTATACCACAATTAAAATTACATCACGGCTGGCATGCTGAATAAAATGATAACATACCCCTGGCTTGTTGGATGTTCATCATTATTCAATTATACAACAAAACATCAGAACTAAATGTCCTGAAACAGACTCACTTACCTGTTGCTGCTGCTTATAATGTTTTCATTTCATTACACTGACAAAAATATTTATGTAAACAAATTCCACGTTTTTTAACTAACTTTAACGTTATTATCGATTTCACGTAAGTGTACCCTATCAATAATTTCTTCTGCTTTCTTATGGACTTCTAGAGTTATTTTGTAATGGTATTTGGGAAATCATAACTTTTGGGATTATACAGGCTGCCGATTCTACGGTATCGACATCAACTATGGAATTTATTTTATTATTAACTAGTTAAGGTTATGAGACTAGTCACTGAACAATCAGCATATTAAGAAAGGCCCGCCAAATAGATATTACGCTAACTGTCATATTTGCAAAAAAAAATATTCATACAAGAATTAGGTGTAATGAAATTTCTTGATGTTACAGTAGAATTACACGGGGTGTCTTTTGGTACAGTATGAGTACCAAAATTAGTAAATACCTATATATCTTTTTTTAACGGCACACCCCGTATATTATACCTTAAGTAGAATGCACATCTAACCATATATAGAGTGATTGTGGGATTATATGATTTTTTCTCATTTTTTGCGCATTCTAATTAAAAAATAATATTTGGTGTGAGGGGGCTAAACAGTGGTATCTAAAGAAATTTTAATTTGATCAGAAATCAAATCGAAGGTGAAATAAATATGGTTTCTCAGCAAGAAGTGTTCCATATCATTTTGTCTAGTTTCTAATAAATTAAGTGAGAATTACAATACAACCATTTTTAAAAATTAATTAAAAGAAAATAAATTGAGAGGAAATTACTTACACAATCAACCTGGTGCTGTAGGCAAGGTATACTATCTGCATTGCGGAAAATGGAGGATATTTTATTTATAAAAATTAATTCACTTTCTGCATATTCGTCCTTTAAATCTTTCTAAATGCAAAATCAAATGATTTCTTTCCTAAAAGTATTTGTTTAAGTCGATATTATTATATTTTTGTGCTAGATGTTGTGTCTCACCCCGTGTTTGTGTTTTTCGTTCCCGAATAATGAAACACCATATTACTCTTATGCTCGTCTCTCTCGCCCACGACCGACTCCCCGCGTAATCGTCAACGTCGGTACAGAACCTTCCGTATCGTTCGTCCGTGAGACAGCCGTTACGTTCCAGGCAACATACCTTTATTTTATGTAATATAATTCGCGTACACTACACTAAATAAATCATT